TTGTCAATACAGAAGTATATATCCTGTACATATACTATACTGGTATTTTGTTTTGGTCGAATATAAGAAGATTATAAGTCAACATTCAAATGAGGCCAAACTAAATCATTTGTTGTGTTTAAGCTTTTGCCAACCCAAAGTAATACTGGTAGGGTACAAGTAGGCAGAGCTGTTTATTTTGTAAAAATTACTTTTACAAAGGATATATAAAGACAGCATTTCCGACTTAAACAGTGTTAACTTAACGTTGGTGAAGCATTTTTTTAACACTAGGGTGGTCACTAAAATCTAGGTTAGGTTTAGATAGTCAAAACATACATTTTTAGGTCACCTGAGACAAAGTCTCAAGTGACCTATTGCGATCGCCTTTTGTCCGTTGTCGTCCGTCGTGCGTCCGTAAACAATTAACATTTTCGACTTCTTCTCCAAAACCACTGAACCAATTTCAATGAAATTTTGCAGGAACCTTCCATGGACAAAGGCCAACAAAAACAGTTGCCGGTTTAGTCCCAAGCCCCCAGGGGCTTGAGGGGCAGGGCCAAAAAGGGTCAAATTGACTAAAATTTCAAAAATCTTCTTCTCAAGACCCAGATATGGTAGAATCAAATACTCTTCATAGATGGAAGGGTCTTAAGGTGCTTTACCAAAATTGTGAATTTCTTGACCCTGGGGTCTCACGTTTTCCCCTGGGGAGGGGGTAAACTTTACTATAGTTTATATAGGGAAATCACATTTTGGACCAACATTTGTTTAATTTCCATTGGAAGTAATTCAATTTGGGTTAGCATTATCAGTATTAGGTAGCAGTTTGATAGTATGCACCTATGAGCCCTGACTGACCCCCAGGGGCTGATGGGTGGGGTCAAAAAGGGTTGATTTGACTGAAATTTCAAAAATCTTTTTCTCAATACCCAGATATGGTAGAATCAAATACTCTTCATGGATGGAAGGGTCTTAAGGTGCTATACCAAATTGTGAATTTCATGACCCTAGGGTATCATGTTTCCCCCTTGGGAAGGAAGGAAGGGTGGGGGGCAAAACTTACTATGGTTTATAATGGCAAATGATACTTTGAATATTACATGTTAATAACTTGATTGGAATTATAACCTTGAGTTGACAGTTTGATACTTTGAAAATTTTGAGCCAGTCCTACCCCCAAGGGCTGTAGGGTGGGGCCCAAAGGAGTCAGTGTGCTAAAATTTCTTCATTTTCCTTGTTTAGAATCAGAGGTGCTAGTTTCAAATACTTTTTAGTCTTAAATCTGTATGCTAGATATTGAATAAGATGGTTTTATTGTTTTTTGTCACTTTGAATAATATTTCTGTACATGTTAAAAGCAAAATCAACTCTCTGTATAAATATATCAGGTGACCGTTAAGGCCCATGGGCCTCTTGTTTAATTTACAATTGGATATAGATCTAACACGTGATATTATTAGCTTTCTGGTATTGTACAATGATAGTTAAAACTTATTTTAAAATGTTTAAATATTGTTATTAATTCCTCTCTAAAACATATTAATTTTACCTGTCACAACAAGACACAAATTTGTAATATACAATATTTTATTATTGCAAACTTCCAGATGAAGCTTTTAAAGTCCCTTTTTTCTGTGACTGGTGTTGGCGATATTTCAAGCACATTTAAACATTACAATTTATTTATTATTATGATGAATTCTGCAACTTTCTGCAAACTTAGGCAGGTGTGAAGATTTGATTGTATCTAAAGTTTAATTATATCTCAACATGTTGCTCCACATAATTCTGGTTCAGCATTGAGTGACAATTAAACAATTGTATCTTTTGCAAATGATTTGTTAACATTTCATTCCCATAGTTTGAAAAATTTCATGTGGTTATAATATTTATGTATATGCTGTCAACCAGTTTTAGCTCATATGGCGAGTATATATTGGCAGAGGGGTGGGGCCCAATAGGGGAAATAAAGGAAAAAAAATGATTTTGTACAAAAGGATATTAACTGAATTTGTTCTAGAGCATCTTTGGACAAAGGGGACTCAAGTTTGCATAAACAGAAGGTGTTGGTGTGTTTTTTTTTTTATACTTTTGACAAACAATTCGTAATATGAAATTCTACAAACCTTCTTTCATTAGTGCCCTATAGTATAATCACAGTGTCTGTCTGTCTTTCAGCACTTTTGTTTCCGGAGATTATTTCGGGACTCCAAAAAAAGGCCGAAATTTCTAAAACTTTACATAGTGATACAGTGCGATACATATAGATGTGCAAAGGACCAAGAGTTTCACAATTTTATCAGGTCAAAGTTGAGGTCGCTGTTACTAAAAATTGAAAAGTGGGGCTATACTGTCAAAAACACATTATATGACCCTCAAAAGGCCAGATTTTGGTAAACATTTTGTTATGACATAATGAAGCAAAGTTGGTCATAACCAACAAGAAGTCAACTTACCAAAGGTCAAGGTAATCTAGTCAAATGTTAATTATAAGGCCAAATTATGTTTATCTTAAAAAAATTCTTCGGAATTAATTCGGGATCTGCGTATGCAATTAGTAATGATGTCCATCTGTCTATCTGTCCTCTGTCCGTCTGTTATCACTTGGAGATTATCTCAGGAATCAGAAGTTCAAATTGAAATTTCACATGGTTCTAGATTGTGATACAGATATGCTATAGTTTTTAGGTCAGTGAGACAAAGTCTCAAGTGACCTATTGCGATCGCCTTTTGTCCGTCGTCCGTCGTGCGTCCGTTAACAATTTACATTTTCGACTTCTTCTCCAAAACCACTGAACCAATTAGTCCCAAGCCCCCAGGGGCCTGAGGGGTAGGGCCAAAAAGGGTTGAATTGACTAAAATTTCAAAAATCTTCTTCTCAAGACCCAGATATGGTAGAATCAAATACTCTTCATAGATGGAAGGGTCTTAAGGTGCTTTACAAAAATTGTGAATTTCTTGACCCTGGGGTCTCACGTTTTCCCCTGGGGAGGGGGTAAACTTTACTATAGTTTATATAGGGAAATCACATTTTGGACCAACATTTGTTTAATTTCCATTGGAAGTAATTCAATTTAGGTTAGCATTATCAGTATTAGGTAGCAGTTTGATAGTATGCACATATCAGCCCTGACTGACGCTCCGGGGCTGATGGGTGGGGCCAAAAAGGGTCAAATTGTCTAAAATTTCAAAAATCTTCTTCTCAAGACCGAGATATGGTAGAATCAAATACTCTTCATAGATGGAAGGGTCTTAAGGTGCTATACCAAATTGTGAATTTCTTGACCCTGGGGTCTCACGTTTTCCCCTGGGGAGGGGGTAAACTTTACTATAGTTTATATAGGAAATCACATTTTATTATGGTTTATAATAGCAAATGATACTTTGAATATTACATTTTGAGCCAGCCCTACCCCCTGGGGTTGATGGGTTGGGCCCAAAGGAGTCAGTGTGCTAAAATTTCTTCATTTTCCTTGTTTAGAATCAGAGGTGCTAGTTTCAAATACTTTTTAGTCTTAAATCTGTATGCTAGATATTGAATAAGGTGGTTTTATTGTTTTTTGTCACTTTGAATAATATTTCTGTTCATGTTAAAAACAAAATCAACTTTCTGTGTAAATATATCAAGTGACCGTTAAGGCCCATGGGCCTCTTGTTATTCTCATCATTGAATCCTATTGACCGACTTTTGAAGTGTTGAGTTTTGTGGTCAGCGTGATTAGACTTACTGCACTGGTACACAGGTATAATCAAACTAATCGGAGCTTTACTCTTTTGTAGTCGTTACTTAAGAGGCTGTGTATTTGATCTCAAATTAAAAATTACAGAACAGCTTAAGAAGATTAAACCTGTAATACCATGATATTTTCTTTAATTGTATACGTGTATGATACTTTTAAATACTTCAGTATGTATCAATGCTAACAAGCTTGAGTATCAGAGTGAATGCCATATTTAAACATACATTGTATAGGAAAATTTCTGTCGTCAATGTCTACCTCTGTTCAGAAAATGTCTGTCCAATAATGTTTCTTCTGTAGAATAAATGTTTGTAAATAGAAAGGTCGCTTCTGCATAACAAATACCTGTCAACAAAGGCCACCTTTATTAAGAAAATACCTGTCTATAAAGGGCATCTCTATACAAATACCTGTATAGAGGACATCTTTCTCCAAATACCTTTATATAACAGGCCACCTCTATATACACCTGTGTATAGAGGACATCGTTATATACAAACACCTGTATATAAAGGCCACCTCTATATATACCTGTGTATACAGAACATCTTTATATACAAACACCTGTAAATAAAGGCCAACTCAATATATACCTGTGTAAACAGAACATCTTTATATACAAACACCTGTAAATAAAGGCCACCTCAATATATACCTGTGTATACAGAATGTCTTTATTTACAAACACCAGTATATAAAGGCCACCTCTATATATACCTGTGTAGGGAGGACATCTTTATATACAAATACCTGTATATACAGGACATCTCTTTATAAACATGTGTAGAAAGGACATCTTTATATACAAATACCTGTATATAAAGGCCACCTCTATATGCACCTGTGTATAGAGGACATCTTTATATACAAATACATCAACTGTATATAAAAGCCACATCTTTATATACCTGTGTAGAGAGGACATCTTTTATGCAAATACCTGTATACACAGGAAATCTCTACACACCTGTGTATAGAGGACATCTTTATATATACCTGTGTATAGAGAACATCTTTATATACAATTACTTGTATATAAAGTGCTGTTAATTCATTGTTCCTCCATAAGTTATATGAAGTTTAAATGTACATAAAGTATTTAGGTCAGCTATCTGTAAGGAAAATCTAGTTCATGTTTTCTTACAGATGTTATTAAAATGTTAAATACACACTGTTTTATCATATGTGTAAAAACATATTTCATAATGATTATATCTGATTCCTCATCAACTGTTTTGTTAAAATTATCATACAAATTTATTTTCCCTGTTTTTGCAGTTTTGTAAGCTCTGTGAATCCGACTGCCCATGTGAAACGAGTGCCTCCAAGCCTAACTGTAAAATGTGCAAGGTATGTACAAACCAGTAACATGTATCTAAATACACCCGTAGGGAAAATACCCCTTGTTATACTGTCAAGGAAAATGTTGGCATTATAAAGAGGTTTTCATTGGTGATATGTCAGGGGAGATATGAAAAGTAATTGTTCAGAATAAAGAAGGATGTGAATTCAAGTTGAAAGAGTTTTGTGATTGGTAGCAAATCAAACCAGGGATATATTATATGGAGTTACATGTATACAAAAAAAAACAACATCTTTCTTATTCTATTACAGTATTTCCTCTGTTTTGGTCTTGTAGTATTGATATCTTAGTTTGATTCAATTAAAGTTAGTCAACCTAATTAATGACATAACGTCACACTACCACGATTGGTACACTACCCAAATTGGTACACCTTCAGAAAATGGTTCGAATTGTATTTTAAAATTAAATTTGAACATTTTTCTTTGACAGTATAAAAAAAAGAGATATTTATCAGCATTTCAACCAAATAGTTTTGTTTTCATGAACATTTTAAAAACTACACGGTGACTTCAACGTAAACATATCAGAAAATCAGTAAAAATGACGTATGTCGACAAACATTTGGAGGATTTTGAAAGGGTTAAATAAAAGCATGTTTAAATGTTGATTTCTAGTCCTTATAACCTGATAATATAAAAGTGTATATATACAATTGTAGTTCAGTTTGGTATTTATAAAAGCAATATATTTTGTTGCAATCGGAACATCAACTAGTAGAAATAATTTTCATAGCCTGTGATATGGGGTACCAATTTAGGTACTAATCACGACCGAAAAACGGCCGAAATCTCACTGCGAGTTAAGTGTTCTATTTTCAAAAACAAGTTACTTAGAGTTAAAACATTTTCTGAAAATGAACCACCATAGCTAGTCTTTGTCTAGAATCAAGAAACATTCCAGATACAAGATCAGAATTTTTAAATATCCCTGAAAAACTGTCAAAATTGTACCAATTGTGGTAGCGTGACGTTACATACAATATCTTTGGTGTTGAAGAACTAGCTTTCTGAATTTATAGATCATTCTCTTGATGAGTATGACATGTGCCAGAGCATGTGGCTGAGGTGAAGGGGAGGTCACTCAGACATTAGCTTGAGGGATCTGTGAATGTGACAGACTGATTTGTTAACTGTGACAGACATAAGCTTGATGGATTTGTGAATGTGACAGACTGATTTGTTAACTGTGACAGACATAAGCTTGATGAATTCGTGAATGTGGCTGACTGATTCCTTAACTGTGACAGACATAAGCTTGATGAATTCGTGAATATGGCTGACTGATTTGTTAACTGTGACAGACATAAGCTTGATGGATTCGTGAATGTGGCTGACTGATTTGTTAACTGTGACAGACATTAGCTTGATGGATTTGTGGCAGACTGATATATTAACTGTGTGAACATTAGCTTGACTGATTCATGGATGCGGCAGACAGATTTATTAACTGGATTCTATATATTATTTCAGTACTGTAAATTCTGCTACCTATGCTCGGCAGTATGTGATACAGTATGTCAACCAGGTAAGAGGAAATGTTGCCTAATTTAACAAAACGTTTTTGTTGTACATATAAAATAACATAAGCATTTTCTGTATTCTATAAGTATTTTAATATGAATTCTAGTTGTTTCTGTACTTGAATAGGATGCTTTGATATGTTTTTGTAAAGAAAGAAAATACTGTAAGGATCTTGAAAAATAAAATCAGCAACACACAGGACACAAAAAGCAAACAAAGTACAAAGTAAATTTATCTAACGCAAAAAATCATATTAAAATAACCAAACATCAATTGGGTGTACCGAAAAGTCTTAAACAAGTATGGAAACATGTATATCTGTACCAAAACGACAGAGTACCAAAACGTCTGTACCCTAACTCCTATAATATCTACATTGGTGTATTAAATCATATCTAACCAACAGTTCAACACCCTGGAAGTGTTGTTCATGTTAATATCTAAAATAAGGTTGAGGATATTTACATTTTGATGGTCATGATGTAAAATGCATCGTTTCCAAACAAAGCTTGCATAAAATTTAATATAGATCCAATGTAAGTAAAGTATTACCGGAGAAAAAAATAGCTTTGTAGAAATTAGAATGTACAATTGGTTATATTTCCATGACAACATATTTTGAAAATATTTGGTACAGTTCAGATGGTTGTTGATACCTGTGTTTCTAGCTTATTTAAATTTGGTTTGCCATATACACGTAAATAGAAATAATTATAACTTGGTGACATATTTACATGTACATATCCTACATGCTTGTTTAAATTGAAAGTAAAAGGTAACTTTAATTTGATCCCATCAGGTGGCGTTTTAGACACTGTGTCGTCAGCTATAGTAAGGTGAGTCGAGTACAGAGATTTGTATGATATGTAACAGAGGACAACACTCGATCCAGTCCAGTTCTGATATAATTATTATTTATTGTTTCTTCGTGTGCATTCATGTGCACCTAGATCTTCTATGCAATATATTTAGACCAAGTAAAGTTACCTATCATTGTTTTTATCCATAAGAATTGATAGTTATATTTGCTGTATTGATTACACAACAAATAATTTAAGTGAGGTACCAGGTAAAGAACTAAGACAAAATGATGCATGCTTTGAAAGGATGTCTTTTTGATATTGATTGAAAATGCAAAATCTCAAACCAGTTTCCATTTCATTGTTATGATGCCAACAATCCAATGACCCTCCTCATATATCACCAAAGACTTGCTGATAAAATTTTGAGTATAACCATTTTTGCTCTAGTTTTTCTAATGATTAACACTTAAATATCCTTGCTGTTTTGTCTTGCAGTGCTCTTCCTATCCACAACAAGGAAGAGATAGACAAGGATTTAGACACAGTACAGGACTGGATGCAGAAGGAGAAGAAAGATGAGTTGTAACAATGTCATCGCCTAGGAAACCATTCCCTCACTGTGTTAGAGTGCTGCCCTTTTACCTCAGTGTTCACCTTGACCTTTCACCTGTGATCATTGAACCAGAATGAATGTTTGGGTGGTCAATTAATGATTAAAGTATGACAATGACCATGATTGATAGTAATCACAACTATGATAGAAAATGTTCCTCATAGTCAATCAGATATTAATGAGATGTAATTATTCTTTAATTACGTAATTTATTAGATTCATTTGGAGTGGCTGAGGTTCCATTTTATCAAAAAGGGCGAAAGCAAATATTGTTCACACTGAAAAGTGCTTTTTTTCATGCTCAAGAATATCAATTTATAATTTTTCTTATAGGGGTTATGAGCCGTAAGAATTGCAATAACATCAGGATCATAGTTCAAAATAAACTGTTGGTTCTTGGATACGTAGATGAGAAAATCATTATTTTTTTTTGAACTTTATATATCAATATCAGAGTTTTTCTACTCAAGTTCTAGTAAGCCCTTTGGATGGAGATTGGCATTTACTGATGTCTTTTTGAAAATTCAAAACATTGAATGCATGAGATGTAATGTTAGTTTAACATTTTAATTGTTAAGGACATTTCTGGACATAGGGTCGAAAAAGGAAGTTGCCCAATGTGGTCAAGGCTCAATATATACAATATATGATGGTTGAGGATCTTTTAATGAATCTGCTGTTATACAAGCCCATGGACCTCTTTTTGTCGGTACAGAATCTTTCATCTTTGGTAGTTAATGTAAAGAAGCATCGACTTGCCATTAGTATTATACTGTTGTGTGAATGTATCCGGAGTAAATAGTATTATACTTATCTGAATGTTGTGTGGTGCAGTGGTATACTTGTGAGAACTGTAATGTTTAACAACCTAAGATGTTTTCATATTTGTCATACTCATAATAAGATTCTTCCATTTAGATATAGGATTTGTTTTTTACCTTCCACCCTGAAACTGATCTGTTTTGGAAAAATAATGTTCCGGTCAGAATTTGATATTTGAGAAACAAGATACTTGATGCATTATTTGGAAATGTTTTGTCCTGTCTGAACAAGGAATGTTTTCGGAGCATTCCCTCATGTTAATCATTACCTTGATATTGATTTACATATAGACCCAGGTATCCATCGTTGTTTGATTTCTCTGCTCAGTAGTCTTCCTTCCTGAAATTGATACATTGTTTTTACTCGTGTACCAGTGTTTGCATTTCTTATATTTGAATAAAAGACTTGCATATTTTAGGAATGAACATGAGATTTTCCAATATTGGATTGGACTTTGTGGCAAAAACTAAAAATATTAATTAACCATGTAATTCAAGTTTCAATACTCTTACCCATGGATCCTTCTTGTGATTGTTCAGGAAATAATTCTTTGGAAAAGGACTTTTTTTATGGATTTCTGTTTAACTGTTTCGAAATTCCAGGGGGAGGGGGTCGTGCTTTCATATATTTTTGGCACCCCTGGAATATGTCATGATGAAATCAAAGGCTCTGTAAGTCCCACTTTGTGGATGATAAAAGAAACTCACCGCAACATAACAGAAGAATTGATTGGCTTTGAAATTGGGTGTCAATTCTCCGAAATGTTTAAAAGACATGAATCAGCTTATAGAGATTTGTCAGTTTTTTTTACCTGAAACCAACGAATAGCCAGCCACCGGTCTTCAATTTTGTCGTTACATATTCAAGAAAAAACCCTGAAATTTAAGAATACTGTATATCTGACTGAGAGAAGTGACGAGCATCTGTGTATAGAAAATGAGAATATTGTTATTAAGCATACACATGTACACGTATATTTAAGCAGGAATTTTTTAATTGTTTTTTTTGTCAATTTGCCTTTTTTTTTTTTCATTGCTTTTATACCAACACTTTACACTTCAGTGTTAGTGATTGTCATTGTAAACTGTCATTATATTACCCTCGTTGTAAAGAACTTTTACAAAATATCCTGAGATTGTATTATTTTGATAGTCATTTGTATTGTAAGGTCAGGCGGAATTGGACATGAATATATTACATGGTAATAAGTGGACCAAATCAGTAACATATATCAATCATATAACATACGAACATTGAACATTTCTTTCCCACTTGATTCACGAGGTGCAGTCTTTCTTAATTGGATTTTAGAAGAAGAAAGAAATTCATGATCAAACTGTTTTACATGTATGTATGGGAATTTCCATTGACTCTATCAAATGTAAATAGATTCAGGCACAATGTTTGATTTCAATACATTTGAAAATATCGGGTAACAAATAGAAAAGAAAAAAAAGAAAAGAAAAAAAAAATCGCCAAAAAACTGAAATAAACAACAATGAAAAAAAGGTTGAAAGTACTGTTTTAGTCTGGAAGAAAAACTTGCCTCCTCATAAAAATTTTGCCGCAGTGATTATGAATGAACAAAAGAAACACTATGATCAAATTTAAATGTAAACATTTTTTATAAAATCTTGTGCAGTTTGGAAGCTGAATGAGACAAAGGTAAAGGGAACAATGATCATTACCATTGTGGCTTCCATGAAATATATTTCTTTTTCTACAAAAGTGTTCCATATAAATCACATCTTGTGATGCACTTTACAGAACTACAGTTGTTGAAAATTTAGAGATACAGATAAGAATACATTGATAAGGGAAATAACTCCTTTGTTGTTTCATATCCCATGTGAAAGGGAGACTACTCAAAGTCTGAAAATAAGTCAAAAGTGGAACTCTTCTTTGTGATTAAAAATGATGCAGTAGTATACTGTACCTGAACGTTTGATCACGTAACAGGGAACAGACATCTATTGATATCAAAATTCTTTACAATGTAATTCTGTTTAATCTTGGAATCTTCAGTAATGATGTTGCACTCATTCACCCCTGAAATTTCATGATGAACTATTCCAGCCTTTGAATTGGAGGAGTTCAAATGGATTTTCAGGGGTGAATGAGTTAGTAAGTATCTTTTTAACCTTTCCACACCTCAGTTCTGTAATGAATGAGTGCTATCTATGCTGAGCGACCCTACCGTTATGTTATGTAGCTTCAGGCTCTACATCAGTAACATTTATTCTGATGCAAGGGTTAGTCTGAAATTATAGAATTACATCCCAACGAAGTTTTAACCATACAGCATTGAGAATGTGTACAATCAAAACTGATGTAGTTTTGTTTCAGTATGATAGATTTTTTTTTTTTATCTTTTACAAGAATTCTTTTGATTTCTAACCCAAATTACACGAAGGAAAGATACCAGAACATTCCATTACTTTTAATCATTCAATTAAACATCTATTTATTTCACGAATGTATTACCAAATATTGTAATTTCATACTTTTGTTGATTTATTTTGCACATGAACTACAAATCAAGAAATTAAAAGTTTTTTTCCCCAAATCCTCAAGGAAATTCTAGTTTTTATTGGTGTACAACTTAAATACCAGAGGGTAAGAAATAACCTCGGCCTATATTCCAGGTCACAGAGTTCAAATCTGTTAAAACACTGCAAGAACTTTTTCTGAAGGTCCAGAAGGCCTGAAGAAATAATGAATGTCTAGCAGCTTCCTTGCATGGAATGCTACAATGTTCTGGAAAAATGGCCTTGACCCGTATTCAAAGGCTCATGGGTCAAAAAAAATAAAAAACTTTTTTTTTTTTATAACACAAACAAACCTTGAGACATTGTGTATGGCCAGTGGCTTGCTGGCAGCAAGTGGTACAATGTTTAAGAAAAGATATTGACCTATATCCAATGTCATAGGGGTGGAATCTGTTAAAACACTCAAAAATCTTTTTCTGAAGATGTAAAATGACTATAGTCATGATTACGCCCAGCAGCCTGCTAGCATGGAGTGTACAAAGTTTGGAAAAGAAATGATGACTTATTTAAAGACAATACACCTGTCAAAATAAAAAAGAACTTTTACAATTATGAGGCAAATGGCAAAATCCAAGATGCCTGATTTGTTTTTCTGACCAGTCTCAAAATGAAACATATGTACCACTACAGACCAACAGGAACCTATGTACGAAATTTTAGAAATATCTGTCAAGTACTTCCTGAGAACAAGTGATAACAAGAATGGTTTATGTATGGACCACGGACAGAAGGTGATTTGAACAGCCATCATCTGATGATGGTGGCCAAAAAGATCAGAAATTTTACTTCAACTTTTATCGCTGCCATCCTTACAGATAATAGCATCGATCTGCTAAATATGACAGCAACAAAATATCTGTGTTTACTTTGATCATTTCCGCAATATGTACCTTTAATCCTGACGCAACAGTGCGTAGTTCCGCCAATCAAGCGAAAAATAAATTAAAAAAAATACACAAAAACTTCAGCAGAAATTAATTAAATGATTTATTCAATTGTTGACAACTCTGGTGTTAAAAGATCAATGTGAACTACATAATTAATCAGTCAGACTTTGTCAACGGTGAACAATGGTAGCACTTAAAATGTCATCAATCAAACACAGAATTTACAATGGCATAGGGAACATAGGGAAAATAAAATGATATGGCTCAGGGAGGTAAACAGAATAATGCTATGAAATTAAAACTTATACACAATAAACCCTATACAATCTAGTCCTCTAGATCTATTAATAATAATTAAAAGAAAAAACTTGAGACTATCTTCTGGACCTGAAAATCATTTGGGGAAAATGCTAGATATTATAATTCAAGTGAAAAAATAATATCATATCATACATTTCAGAGAACAAAATCAGTGTAACAATACTGTTAATCAAATCAACTTATAATGTACAGTGTCAATCTTACTTCAAACCTGTCTCACTAGCATACCACATTTAAACTGTCTCCTAATGATTTTCATAAAAAGATTTAGGCTCATCCTTGTTAGAATATTATAATGTTTGTTGTATATTTCATTGAGAAGAAATGTAAACACAGATACAAGACAAATAGAGAGGCCATCAAGTTAGACCTTTCTAAGTACTCTCCCATAAATTATGGAGAAAAAACCCCAAAAGTATTAACCAACATTTTTAGACTTGGTCATAATGTGTGCAGAAAAGAAAGCTATTTAACATTAAGATGAATGCAAGACAATAATCTAATGAATAATATCAAAAAAATATTTTTGAATTCAAAAGTGTTCACGTTTTGAACCATTACATGTGACAATAGCACAGGTACCCTTTGTTTTACTGTAATATGTCATGTGCCTGTCACATTGTCATGCACATAATTATGATGACTGGAAATATTATGCTAGCCAGATAAGATGACCTATTGAGTGTGTATATAGTGATACACCTGTCTAATCTGACACCCTGTGGAATCAATCAAATTGGATTGATTAGTTTGAACACACAAGACTTGTTTGGTATTTTTTTATAAGAAATATGGGAACAACTGTACATCTTTGTGACAGCATGTCAGAATACTCAGAGGTCAGATTAGCCAGGTTTTACTGCATATCAAATACAATTAGGGTTACATTGGTCAAAGTCATATGCTGTATAAATTAATTCTTGGTACATTCGCATGATATATTTCAATGAAAAATTTTCCTGCCTCTGAATACATGCAGTTTCCTATAAATAATGATTTTACCACCAAAACAAAAAATAAATATGACATTCTGAAACTTAAAACAAAAAATTACGTTTTTGGAGACAAAATATTTGATAAAAGTTCCAGAAAACTGCTTGAAGATTATTATATATAAAGTCCTACATGATTTATACCCTACAAATGTGTTGTGACTAGACAAAACTGACGTATAAAAAATGTTGAGATTCAAATTAATGTCCAACATAATTAGATATTGCACAATAACAATGTAGAAAATGGACCAAGTATCTCCAAGAAATCTCAAACTGCACAACTCCATAATTGTGCTAGTAAATGATGTATATTTCCCATCTCTATTTCAGTAAATGATGTATATTTCCCATCTCTATTTCAGTAAATGATGTATATTTCCCATCTCTATTTCAGTAAATGATGTATATTTCCCATCTCTATTTCAGTAAATGATGTATATTTCCCATCTCTATTTCATCAATGTTAAGGCTACTCTGTGAATATGATATATATAAACCCTACGTGTGCGTACTTTTCCAAAGATGAATTCAGGATCAGCTCATAAAAACATTTTGTTTTTTTCAAATTCAAAGTTTTACCCAGGGTTACTAACTAACTATTTGAAAGCATCAAAATAGTTCAAAACTTCAAGCTTTATCAACTTTGTGTTGTGGTACATTCTGTGTCTCCATGTTTATCCTAACAGGTCTAGTATGCAATGAATATGTAGGAACTATCTTAAACTTAAAGTTTCTCATTGTTAAAAGTTCCCTTTACACAATCTTATCTTAGCAATATATACACATGTATGTGTGTGATGGCTTTGCACAGATAATGTTTTATACTGTCAAAGTGAATATTTGTGTGTGTGTAAAATTTCATAATACTGCTCAGTAGTACTGGCATGCATGGTTAAATGCATGAAAAGAAAAGAGAATTTTCACACCACTTAAATTTCCACTCTAGCATTATTAAATGAAATGAAGATTAGATTGGTCCCGTATCCGTACGCCATCATTAACAGTATAAATACAGGGTACGTAGGCATAGTCCACTGGTCGTGGTGAATGAAATATTAACATTGATGCCCTAACGTGCTGTTGATATTACTTGGAATACACTGGTCCCTCTTTATGCGACCACCCCCTTAATCACTAGTGTATTATACGGATATGATACAAGCAAACATTTGTACAGGGCATATATACATATATAAACATGTACAGTGTATATACACATAAAATTGATATACATTTTCTATGAAAAGGAACTATAATACAAATTTACCTACAGCTTTCCTACAAGGGCTGGATTTTACTGTTTTACAGAAAAAGGGTACCATTTTACAACAAGGAGTAAGATCTCTTATATATAGAAGATTAAATGACTTAAAAGCATTTTTCTGGCACAGAAATACTTCCCTTGTCAAAATATTCACCTCTCATTTTGATGCTTTGCCCTTATGATTCCTGGATAGAAACACTGGTAAAAATCAGGATTGGTATTTTATTGATCCTGTGACCAAAATAGCTTGTTGTTTAAAAATCAGGATTGGTATTGTATTGATCCTGTGACCAAAATAGCTTGTTTTTTATTTATTTTTTCAAATTTTAAGTATTCAAATTGTTGATGACTAGAACTCTGTTAAATGCATCATAAGATGGGATTTAAACGACTTAAACAAATATTTGATGATAGTCACAATGTTAGTATATTTTAACTTCATGGTACTCTATATTTATATGCTTAAAACAGCATATATGTTACAGCTGTGAATCGATTAAGTAGTTTTACATTCAATATATATCCAAATGACACAGCAGCTGCTGTAATTTTTGTATAATGTATATTAGACAAAATCATTTACCCACAAAGCGGGTAGGAATGCTAAACTTGCATGAAACGATTATTTCAAAATGGGTGATTTTTTTCTGTCAAATGCATTTCTGTGTTCACATGAAGTAAAGATGTAGTCCACAATCATCAAAGGAATGAACTATTGAGTTTGGATAGATCAAACTGTACAAATATAGTCCTCATAATTTATACAATAAAAACATGCACAGAACAAATTATTACTATATACAGTCATATTTTGTCATGTATCAAGGAATTTTGTCATGAACATCAGATTCTGTAACAAATTTGGCTGAAGTAAATGGATAAAACCACGGACTTCGATAGTCTAATTCCGTGCTAAAACTTAATGTTTTCACCTTAACAGCAAGACAATTTGCTAGTTGGAAAATCTCAAAGCTCGTCAATATGTTCAACATCTTTTCATTTTGTGACATTTACCACGTGCATTTGAGATTTGCCAAACAACAACGTAGTCCGATAGTTTAAGTTGAACAATATGGAGTTAAATTGACCAGTGTCAAGACTAATAAAAGTAAGGGGTAAAATAAGACATAAATCACTGATTCTGGCCCATTTTATACAGCAAGCCCCTATCATTTTGAGAGTCAAAAGCCATTTTAGGAGGTCATACACCCCCATATGAAGGTATTAAACTGAAACCCTAAACTCTAAAACACTATTTATTTCTCAGGTCCCTTTATCTTATAAAGTGAATCCATTTTTTCAATTTGTATGTATTGAAAACTATTATGAAAGGATTTTACAGTTGGTTTTCAGAAGATGTAAAGTAGATTAAACATTTGAAGTGAAATTATCAGCTGTAAAGACATTTAAAGCTATTAACTGAATTTTCAAATTCCATTCTATAAATAGAGCTACACGAACCCGGTACAATTAAATACAAAAATAATGGTCTCAGGAGTCCTTCTTATGTAAAAGGGAAAATGAAAAAAATACAAGCTAAGAAAATATTGGCAGTAAACTACATTGCACAGAAAAGAAAAGTTTACAATGACGAAAATCCTTTCATGAATGTCAAGTGATAGCACCTTAAGTCTGACAATATCCATTTGAATATTAAACTACTTTTCCTAACTACCAAAAAATGGATTTCAATATTTTCAGAAAATAAATGTATACCCCTGAGTAACAAAAATACACTCTAAATTTACCTAACATGAAGAAAATGCCAAGAAAATGAAAGTGCCATCTATGACAGGTATGATTGCTAAACTGTCCAATGAATTCTGAGACACGGCCTAAGGGACACATTTTCATATCTTGACTTGAGAATAACAAGCACTGATAAATAAAATGAACTAGATTCAAAGATACTTAAAGACAGATAAAATATATCGGAAGATGTCTCATATACAACGTCAGAGTATACTTATTGAATCTTTTGTTCTGTTGTCATTATTTATATGGTCAAACAATATAAACAGACATGCGGTTGTCACCATGGTCAAATAAATCATAACTGGTTCCCAATATAGAAGGTATAAGAACCCTGCTGTTGGTCGTTAGATTGATGTCAAGGATTCTCATCTCAATCGTCACATAAGAACTAATGACATGACAACCTCGGAAGTGTTCTGCTGACTGTATGTATATAGAGACACATTTATTTGTCAATAACTTGACATAGCAACTTGTGTTTTAAAAACTGTGATGGAATTTTTTCCACATGACTAAAGGATGATCATTTTCTCACCTGTTTCTGAAATGTCACTCCCACAATTGTCTGTTTGCATTTAAGACTAAAAGTATGAATCACTACACTAAAAAAAAGAATGGGTGCATTTGTCTTTTTCTTGTTTGCAGCAGAAATGAATTTCGCAAATGTTGTACTATGGAGAAAAAACACCTGATGTATAATGTATTATATTTCTCTTCATATGGTGTAGGAAATGTAAATATAACTGAAACCTCTAGAATTCCGAATGGTAAAAAAATGAGAATGATTATTTTCTTCTACCATATATCCGCCATCAATGGAACAAGTTCAATGCATATTGCCTTCTACTAAAATACTCACAAGTACATATCAGTTTTATCAAAAAAACTTTTACACTATATACACGGAAATGTATTTTTTCTTTTTCTCATTTTTAAAATAAAACTTAATATTGATATAACATACAAAGATATTTATATATATAATATATATAGAAGCAACTAAATAAAAGCAAAAAATGTTTTTACAGTTGAACAGTTAGCAGCACAAGCAATAAATACTACAACAACAGACCTTACAGACCAGCAGCAAACAAATTCATCAAAATAAGTGTGCCCTTATTAAAACAAGAGGCCCATGGGCCTAAACGGTCACCTGAGTCTACAGTATTTATTTTTGTTGTTGAAATATGTACCAATTTGAGTAAAAAATAGTATAATGTTAACTTAACTTTGTCAGGACCATGAGCTGATCATTCCTAGACCAATTTTAAGTGAGATCGGCCTATTAGAACTTAGTAGCAAAATAGCGGCCATGGCAGCCAAATTGTATTTCTGATTGACCCGAAAAATAACAACACTTTGTCAGGACCATGATTCGATCATTCCTACAAAGTTTCAGTTCAATCGGCCAAGTAGATCTTTACTTTAAGTTTGAAATAGTTTTTCAAAATGGCAGCCGTGGTGGCCATATTGGATTTCTGA